TGTCAGCCTTTACTACAATGCTCGACAACAACAAACCACCAGAACCACCGCCAAAGAAACCACCAGACGAGGGGGACAGCGATGAAGAAGAAAAGAAGTTCAAACTGACAAAAATGATAGAAATAATGCTACACAACGGCGCTACAGTAGCAGATATCATATTAAACTTATCACACAGCACAATTGCAACAACAATAAATATTGCAGATTTAGTTAATCAGATAACAGCAGGACATGCACAAAGTAGCAGTAGCAATTCATCAAATGAAGCTATTAGTGTTCATAGTTCTCCACCTATTACTGTTCATAGTTCTTCATCTGAAAGTCCAACAGAAATACCAGCACCAACTGAAGACGAAGAAGAAGAAGACGGAGAAGAAAAACAAAAATATAATTTTGAAAAATTAAAATCTAAATAATATTATATATAATGGGTTCAAGTAAATCAAAACCAGTAGAAATTGATGATGAAGAGGCTATTAAAGTAATAAAAGATATAGATGTAAATACGATAAGTGAAATGTCAAGAATTGATATTCTACAAATAAATTCATTGAAAGCAATAATAAATAAATTAGAAAAAGTTAATGAATGTAAAAAAGATAAAACATATTATAAATTTCCTGCCTTAAATTTATGTAGCTATTCCTTATTCTAAATTGATAATATTAACATACATTAATATTATTAATTACTATCATAATCTGTCATTTCATCTTCTGGTAATTTTGTTGAGGCATTGCTACACATATCATCTATTAAATCTTCTTCATCAACAAAGTTATTTTGAAATCTTAATAATTCCTCGTCTGTTGGTCGTCTTTTTAACACTTTATAAAGTTTATGTATCCAAGAATTAGTATGAAAATTGTAATTACCTCTACGATAAAATCCACCACATCTACATAGTTTCATTAGCATATTATTATATTATATTAAATTAGAATATCTTTATTCATCATTTGTAATTTGAAATGCCTGTTCAAAACGGAGAAAAAACATGTCATTCACATTCTTAGCATTCATATTCACGTAGAAGAAACTATAAGGTGCGTCATTCACTGCTTGATGATACATATCTAATAATTGCTGTTTGTCAACAATGGCGCTATTTTCTTCAATAAAACTCATTAATTCACTGGCATTTTTCAACCTAAAAATATATAATGAACTGGCATTTAAACGAATGATAGGCGCCAACACATTATATTTCTGTGTTGAACAAATTACGCTTACAGCATCGTGCCTACCTCTTGTAAATAACCCATGTAATAATTTACTATATCTAACAAATTTAGGATCGTCGGCGTGATCGTCTATAACGATTAATATTGAATGTAGTTTCTTTATTTTTTTAGATTTCATATAATTAATTATTTTCTTCTGTCTTTCGATTACATTTTCTAAATCACTTGGATTATAATTATCAAAATAGATTTGTTCTTTTTCATCATCTACATGTAGTTCATCCCTGATATATTTTTTAACTTCTGTAAAGGTTGGGTCATTATGAACGCTGGGGGAAAATATAAATATTCTTGCAAATGAATTTCTATAAACATTTAAGATAAGGTTCTGAACCAATACTGTTTTGCCACCTGTCGAAGAAGCAACTATAATACTTCTAAATGGTAATTTTGGCACGTGCTCATATTTAGATTGTTTGAATTCATATTCAGTTATGTTTATTGGCTTTATTATTGGAACATCTGACATAATAAAATAATATTAAAGTTATTTAGAAAATATTTTATATTTATTATTTTATATGAATAGAAGCTATTCAGATTATATTGATATAATAGATGAAGTAGAGAATTTAGAACAAGTTGTTATAACTGATAATAGATGCAAGAAAATATGCTATTTTGTTTTAGAAATAATTAAGTTTGTGATACAATATATCAAAAATAAAAATGTAAATATTAATATAAATGGGAAGAAAGAAAAAGAATAAGACTGAACCAGTTGTTTCTTCAACTGATGAAGAAAAAGAAGAAGTTGTTAAAGAGACATCAGTTATTGAGTTTGCTTGTCCAATGTGTAAAAAGAATATTAGAAATGAAAAATGAATTAGAAATACAAAAGAAAGGAAACTGTAAATGTTCGTGTATTCCAGCCAGTTTCAAAATAAGTAGAAATGATAAGAAAATGAATATTGATAAAACTAAAGACAGTATCAACTTAGAAACAGATGTTCATAATATTGCTATCAAATGGGGGAGACATGCATCGCCATCCGATAATGGCGATAAGGAAACACAGGAAACGATACGCGAAATGATGAAAAAATAATAATTAAAATTATTTCTATTATTATTTATAATGCAAGATGTTATAAATAATATTCTTAAATTCATTGATGTAAAAGAATTGAAATTAAATAATTTTATTGAAGAATATAACGAAAATGATATATTAATTAATTTTGTTAATGACTTTAGAAATAGTAAAATTGATTTTAACATGTTTTATAATTCTATTAATTATGCTGATTTATTTGAACAATCAGATTTAAAATTCTATTGTAAAAGAATATATTCATATACTTTAAGATTTATTGCTAATTATGATAATAAAAATGCTATTCAGTTTTATGAAATTACATTGAGAAAAATGAATAATATTTACAAGAATAGTAATATTAATGTTGTTAATGTTTTTGAATGTATTAAATGTTTAATAATTTATATTACAGATAATATTGAAAAGTTTCATAAATATTCAAAATTTAGAAAAACTATTATTTGTAATTTAATTGGTAAATTGAATAATCATTTAACTAGTTATACAATAACTAATTTTGAATTGACTTATAATGATATATGATTTTGTAAAATAAAAAGTTTAGTTTTAAAAGTTTTATTTTATAATATAATATATATATTTACATGGATGAAGGATTAGAAAAGATTGTTAAAAAACTGAATAAGGTTTTGGAACAGAATAAACATATTTTAGAAATCTTACACGAAATGGAAAAGAAGAAACCATTAACAAACAATTATCAAAGTAAGGAAGTAGATCGAACCAATGGTGAATATAAAAATAAAAGAAACATTTATTTAAACAAACTTAATAACAAAGAAATTAAAGAACCGAAGGCTTCAACTATGACATTTTATCAAATTGACTATGATGAAGATACAGGGATTTATTCTTGATTGAAAACATTTTTCTCTGAAAATCCGTTTAAAGACATATTGGCATAACTAATATTATGAGTTCTACAGATGACGAAGAAGAAACAGGATGCACAATGGTTTATCATTGCAGTAAATGCGACGAAGCAAAGCCAAGAAAGGATTTTCACAAAATGTATGATAGAATTAAAATGGAAGATATATTTTACAAAACATGTAAGGAATGCAGAGACAAAGTAAAAGCAACAAAAGAGTTAAGGAAGGAACAGAAGAAACGAATACAACCCATGGAAATACATAGATTAAAGCCTTTGATACCATAGTTTTGCTATACTTATAACATGTAAGATCTTATATGTTGTAATTATAGTATAGGTTTCCCGTATAAGCCGTGGGGGTGCTTTCCTACATAGGCCTTTCCCATCCGCATTTTGCCATCCATATTTTACTGGGATTGTTTTCAAGATTTGGGTTAACGGTTTTAATTCTCCCTTTTCCATTGGTTAACCATTTTTCGGGGAGTGATAATTTATGTAGTATGGCGGTGGGAGAGCTTAGAAAATACGCAGTTAGAAGACACTTAAAGACATGATGGTAAATAGTAGTATGGAAAACTTACAGAGATGCAGTAGGTGCAGAAAACAGAAAGAACTAGGAGAGTTCAAGGATGGGAGAAAAGTATGTAATTATTGCCTTTCTACTGCTAAGACTTATCAACAAAATAATCCCGAGAAAATGGCGGAGAAATGTCATAAGTATTATGTCAATCATAGGGACGAGATTTTAGAACAGAAGAGAGAAAAACGACTTTGTGATCTTTGCAAAGTAGAAGTAGCTAAATCAGAATGGACGAAGCATTTAATCACTAGTCGGCACAAACGATATCAAATGATAGAAGCCGGGGAGAAGTTGGAAGCCGATCGTGGCGATTCGTGGTGGTGCGATGTCTGTCAAGTATTTTTAGCAAAGAAAACATCCAAGTGTAGCCATAATGGATCGAAAAGGCATTGTGCATTAGCAAAGCCACAAGGAGTTGAGGAGTAAATGGGTTGATACATTTGTTTTGCGATGATTGTATCAATGCATTTGGGATATTTATTAATTTAATGGGTGGGATTTTGCGCAGTATGGCGGGTGGAGTGGGGACAAAAATGCGCAGTATGACGGCGGGAGAGCACATCTCTAACTTTTTGCGGGGGGGAGCTCACCAGGGATTCGAGTTGTTGGGACCTAGGCACCGGAACCGTGTGTTGCCCCGGGACGAGATCCGGCAATGCACGGAGCAGATCGCCATTCTACTGGAATCCTATGGGGTGAACTTCCAGAGAGCTGACCTGGACCAGATGCGTATTGGCTCCCAAAGACGCGGGCTGGTGTTCCTCACGTCTTGGGTTGATGGACTTGAGTCGCTTTTTGGGTTTGGGCCATTTTGGTGGTAAATAGAAGGTTTGGTTTCTTTTTTGGGTTGATGGACTTTGGTCACTTTTCCAGCAAACCACCGGGCTCCAAATCAAGCAGAGGGAAGCTGAAGTGTTTCTCTCGGAGTTGTTCTCTCCGTTTTGGTGGTTTTGGCCGACAACAGGGGACAGCCGCCTTTTTTGTGGGGGGGGGGGGTGGATCCCAGGCAAGCCACTATATTAGGTACCCAGCCAGTGTCCTTTATATGTTTAAAGGGTTCCCTTGGTTACCTATACCTTCCATAAGAACTGAACTCACTGGGACTCCTTTTGATCCATTTTTAGAGGCCCACGAAGTGGGCACGTTTTATGTTCTGGCGCCATCCGGGGCAAGTGAGACTATCTACAAGCCATCCTCGAGCGTCAGAGGGGTTGGGCCAACCTTGTTACATGTTTGCCTATGATCACCTACCTACTGTGGATGGACGAAATCCTGCACCGCTTGGAATCCATGGCAACCAATTGTTGGTTGGTATTTACAGGGGGCGAACAACAAGTTTCGTTACTTTTTCTGGCCAGTCCGCTTAGGAAGTGAGATGAAGTGAGTAATATCTTCTTTTGTGGGTCCAGACACGTGTTTATGGTTTTGTGTTGTTTTGCTTGTTCTGATTAAAAAAATAAAAATAAAAAATAAAAATACAAACCAAACAACATGCCTGCTTTCTTTTTTTTTCTGTGTTGTTGTTTGGTTATTCCGTTTGCTGTTTGTCATGTTCCATGACCTGAAAACAGGATGGCCTTCTTGGTGGATCTACTTCCGCCAGATGGGATGGATGTGAAGCATTGAACCACCTAGCAGCTGCTGCAGCCTTTGCCTCCAACAAGAGGCCACAGTAGGCTTAATTCCGCTCAGCTTATGCTTGAACCTCACTTCGCTTGCCCTGTCGAGTTGCTCCTGTTCTTCTTTTTGGTGGCTCCCAGCCATCCGGTTCCTTAGCTTTTTCGCTTTTTGGGGTTTAGAGGGGGTTTCCATTTCACCCACTATAAACGTTAAACTTTGAGCAGGGGATCTGAGGACAGCCCAGTCCCTTTTGGTGGCGTTTTAGTTTGTCCTTGCTGGTTTAGCTTGGCTTGCGGGCGTTTTGCTGGGCCCAGGTTCTACGTCATGGATTACTCCGACACAGGCGGTCTAGCCAGTGATGCCGAGTCACTTCTGTTGGCTTCCAACCTTCGGTTCGGGTCGAATAGAACGGATACCCTAAATTTTCCCAAGGGAGCTACGAAATCTGGAAAACCTCTAGTTTTCCGTAAGTTACGCTGGTTTTGTTGTTGGATGAGGTTGTTTACTTGCAACCTTGAAGTGCATACAGAGCACCCACCCCTGTCCCCACCTGCTGCATTGCCGGGGCCCGATAGCGCCTTACCGCACTCCAGGCATCATCGAGCGCTCGGAATTCATCCAGGGGGTAGTGGGTCTTTGTGACCAGATCCGGCCCATGTCCATTATGGAGTTGCACTACCAGGCCCCATTCGCGATTTGCACACGAGGTCCACAGGGGTGTGGTTCTTTTTGGGTTCCCAATGTTGACACCCCTGAGGGCCCCTGAAAAAGAAGCGCCAAAAGGGGGGATGTTTATTTTTAGGGCAGTGAAAGGATCCAAGTTTGACGGTTTTGCAGCCCAGCAAGGGGCGCTTTGAAAAGAAGGCAGCTAGAGGCTTGAAGGGTGTGACTCTGAACACGTTGGTGTGGGCATGTTCAGTGCCCAAGACGGAAGGTTTTGGTGTGAGTCGGGAGCTGAGTTTGTGCTTTTTGTTTAAAGAGTGACTTCCGTGTGTTTTTGAGTTGTTGTCTGAGTTTGTCGAGTTGTTTTTACTGGCTTCTGACCGTTTTTGTAAAGGGGGTTGGTTAGGGAGGATATCTGCAGTTTTCCTCAAGAAAAGAGAAATGTCGAACACAACTCAAAACAAACTCAACCACAGACACTGGAAAGCTCAGAAGCAAACTCAGCTCCCGACTCAGCCTCACACTTAAGTGGGGGCAGTGAGTTCAAGGCTGAGTTTTTCTGAGTTTGTTTTCTGAGTTGTTTCTGAGTTGAAGGCTGAGTTGTTCTGTGTTTTTGTTTGAGCCGTGCCTTGTGCGTTTTCTTTTTGCCTGTGTTTTCTTTGTTTCTTTTGAGTCTGTGTTTTCTGTTGAGTTTTTCGGCTGAGTGTTTTTGTTTTAATAGTTTTTTCGTAATTCTGCTGAAGCCCCTCCTGTCTGAGCTCGTCTGGTCAGAACATTAAATGGCATCCATCCAAAGTCGAGCAAAAGGGTTTTTGCAGCCTTCCTGTCTTCTTGGACTTTGCGCATTGTCAACATACTGGTTCACTGGGGCTGCTCTTTGAACAGGCCTACCTGGGCCTACCTGTTGGTTGGAACATGTGCCCAGCCAAACGTGAGACTCCGCGTGAGGAGAAAACAAGACACCCCCAAACATGGAGGCTCTTAGACAACAGCTACCTACATTGTTAGACTCACCACCAGCATCTCCACGGTGTCACATGTGTGTCAAAAATGGGAACACGGCACAAGACGGTAGCTTCTTCTTCTTTTTATTTCCTAGGGGTAACTTCCAACCATTCTTTCCAGGGATCCAAATCTTTCTAGAAAGCCACCAACAACCCGAGGGAAATGGCGATCGGTTTTTGAAAAGAAGGATGGCTGAAAGAATGGAATTGGAATCAACCCTTTGGTGCATTTTGCTTGGATGTCAAGACTTTAACTTTTTGCCAACTAATGGCTTTTCCATTAAACCACTAACAGTTGAACTTTTAGCAGGGGAGCAGAAAGCAACTGTGTAAAAAAATGAGCAAATACGGCACAATCCGGTGGTTTCGTTTTGGCCGTCTTCTAAACCCAGGCTTTCCGGTGGCGGCGCACAGGTCTCCAAATGTGTCACCAAGATGGAGAGCAACGAGGTGAAGATCGAGAACTTGGTCAAGGCCCGGAGCCGAGTCCGCGACAAATGTCGGAGAAATTCGCGAAAATTCACTTTGTTTTTTTTTGCTTCCGCCGGTTTGTCGGTTTTACGCCCGTGGGTTTTAAAGGGAATCTATCACTACTGGAAAAATATATATATATATATCTTTTTCCCCCAGGGAGCTTAAGCAAATGGAAGCTGGGGGGCCGGCAACGTACTCAGATAGTCAGGTTGTTTACTGTGAAACATGCCCTCACTCCTTGAGTTCCTGGAGTTGATGCGTTTCGGACTGGACCATGTTAGCCTTTTTTTGGCGATCCACTCAGAAAGTGAGCATGACAAGGGCCTTTTCAGTATTGGACAAGGGGTTGTGGAGTGTTCTAGGACCAAGTCAAGTCGTGATCTCAAGATATATTAGAGCCAGAGTTTAGCAAGTATTCATTCCCTCTTTTTGCAGGCACATATCGTTTATAAAGGGACCCTTTATGTTCGCTCTGCGGATGTTGGGTAAAATGAAAGGGTGGGGATCGCTTCAATCATCACCTGTTTGACAGACTTCCCTAGTTGGGGGATCATGGCTAAGTTTGAGCCTCGCCACGAAGAATTCTTGGCCTCGTGGACTCGTCCTTTCACAAGCGTGCGTTGCCAATCACTTCTCGCCAACAGCCCTCACCAGGCACCCAAGACGCTGAGCGAAGTAGGTATATGGGCAGAAGGCGGTCGTTTTGACCCTATCACTGGTGCCCGACCAGTTTTGTGAAGATAGCCCAATTGTTCAGTGGCAGGCTCAAAACCCTTTGTTTGGCTTCCCCACCCAACACTGAATCGACTTAAAAGAGGATCTCTTATCGTTTTCTACCAGGGGCCACCAGGCAATTGAGTTGACCCTTATTATACTATAGCCTAAACCCAGAAAGATGTCAACCGACCACAACGGGCCCCATTTCGTTCTACTGAACGTCACTGGTTGCAAACTTGTACTCCAAGAGCCGATCGTGGGGTACGATTAGGCCAAACTACGTCATGATCACTGCAGCCTTTTAGAGGGGGACACCGCCATGGGGGGAAAATAATTTTGCCCTTTACTACTTGACCGTTATTGGGTTGGATCTTTAGACTTTAACATTTTTGTGGGTTTTCCACTAAACCCACAAAAAAGTTTATCCACTTTTTGCAGAGGGGTCAACAGCAGCAACCAAGATTCCTGCTGATCATTCATCATCTCCGTGGCTTTGAGGTCATGGACATCTATGATGGCAAGATGGAGCCTGGGCAGGGAAGGAAAAGCCGGCCGGGCCTACGCGCCATTGGTCCGATGGGTTCCGATACGCTACTTGCAAATCAGAGGATCCGTTCAACCGGTTGTGCTTTAGGCGTAGGGTTTCCCATGGGTCCAATTGAAGTCATGACCATAGTTGCTTGGGTGAAAGTAGATGGCACAATGTCTCCCTTAGTCAGCCCCTTGACTTGTGCACAGGAGACTCGTGACTGCTATTGGGTTGGATCTTTAGACTTTGACTTCTTGGCAAATCAATGGTTTTTCCACCAAACCCACAAAAAAGGTGAAGCTTTTTGCAGAATCAGCAGCAACGAAGGGACGGTTCCACACATTGTCCAGTGCTTGGATCCGGTGTTTTTCCGTGGTTGTCAGTGTTTTGCTGGCTCTGTTTTTTTTTTTTTTGGGGGGGGGGGCTTTGTTCATTAATTTGTTCAGGGGGCTTCAGCCTTCGGCCGGACAGCGGGTGGGTTTTTTTGGGGGCGCTCGTCTGGCTGCAAGCCCGACGGCCCGGAGGTCACAACATTTTTGCCCCAAGTTGACCCGTCCTTCGTTGGTTTCCGTGGGCTGGAATGACTATGTTTGTTGTTTATATGTATTTTTTTATCTTCCCCTGGTTTTAAAGCAGGGTTGTGGGATCACTCGGGGTTTATCCAACCACTTCTGTGATAGAAGGGAATCGGGGGTAGTGTTTGAAAAGCTCCTTTTATTGTATCACAGGAGTGGTCATTTCCCACAGCGCTGTTTTAAAGGGAATCGATTTCACTACTGGAAATATTATATATTTTTTTCCAGGGGTCGAAAAACCAAATGGAAGTTTCCTGCAGTGGCCCATCATGGGGCTGAGGAGTTTAAGAGCAATGATTCTCATGGCATGTCTCTGCTCCTTGTTCTTGTGGCGGCCACTGCCGCAGAGTACGGATGTTGGATTTGTGCTTCACCGTCCTTTTTTCTTAATATTCAGACTTGTTCAATGGCGCCTGTATCCCTTTGTGTGTGGTGGCTTGCTCACTCAACAAGTTCAACCCCTTGCCTTTTCCATCCGGTCACTGAAAAACAGGGCTTTTGGGTCCTCGTTTTTGGTGGGGGTCTGCAACGAACAGAGCCTGCTGTTAGCATACTGCCAGCTGGGAAGGGCAGGAGTGGACGCCGGTGTGGTGGAAAATCGGGTTCGCACCCTCCATGTTTAGCACTTCATGGTTCTTTTCTGGTTCCATATTCCCCTTATGGGGAATATTCGAAACATGGAATGGGGGATTCTTTTCTTTGAATGTCCACTTCTTGCGTGACTCAGGATGGTACCCCCACCCCCGTTACAATGGAATCGAGGGGGGGGTGACCCCTGGAATCCCATGTTTTGGTTCCATTTTCACTTTATGGGGAATGTTAGAAACATGGAATGGGGGACCCCCCACCCCCTTCCAGGAGCTCATCGCTGCGTTGGGTTCCCTAGGAAAACCCTCTGCAGTGTAACAGGGTCCGGAATCTTCAGCCCACAGCGGAACCAGGGCTTTCTCACTCTTGCCCTGCGCATTGGTTACCATGAGCTGTCAGGACTGACGCCCAATCTATATGTATATATATAAATATATATATATAATAACTGTGTGTATGCACGTGGTGCACCAAAAGACGGGTTTGGGCTGCGATCCCATGGGCGTCCAATTCAAAGTGGCAAAGTAGTCATGGAAACGGCTTATGTTGGAAAGACAAGGGTGATGCTCATAGAAACCAGCCGGAAACTCTACCGGAAGTTAGCTCAAAACCCAAGCCAGTTTTTTCTCGCAGAAGCTCCCGCCGGTTTCAAAGAAACATCCCACCACAGGTTCCCCCGGAGGCGCGCCCGCCACTTGGAAGGATCGCGTCGAGCGCATCGTGCGGGACATGGCGGAGGTTCTGCGGCGCGCGGCCCAGGCGCCCAGCGGAAGCGCCACGCACACGCCCGACAACTCCAGGCGCGTTGTTGTGGGAAGTCGGATGTGGGTGAACGAGGGCAGGCGCCTTATTTGGCAGTGGTTCAAAAAAGCGGTACCAGTTTTAGTTGTTTGCCCATTGGATGGAAACAAAGACCTGCCTAATTAACCCAGCTCTTTAATTTTGAGCCATTTGGAGAAGAGGGGAGTTTTGCAACTGGGTGTTTGTCGAGACTACTGTGGATGGGCGAAATCCTCTTAGGCACCACCCAATGAAACCCTGGAATGATTCGATTCCCCTGCAAATACCCCAGCAATGGTTTCCCACGGGTGCAGGAATTTGTCCCTCCAAACTGGGAACCAATTCCTTCAGGTGTTTGGTTGCTTTTGGTTTCCACTTACACCATTTTAAGGGCACCCTTTTGGGAAACACACCCGTTTCTCGCTTCCTGAGCTTCTGGACTTTGACATACTTTTTGGGAAGACTATTTTAGTGACAACACGAGTTTGGACGGTTTGTGGCAAACCAGGTTTGGTTCTGCACAGGTCGTAAAGTCGTCACATCACAGAAAACATTGGGGTAGACCACGCGCCCGTGGTATCCCCCAAATATGCACGGTCATGCACCCTTTCTGCGCCAGCTACCCAGCTACCTTAGTGAAATCATTCCATTCCATTTAATCAGGTGGTACTGGTGTACTTTTCTCCAGGCGGTGCACGTTTTTGATACCCCGACGCGTGAAAATGCAGGTGCGAAAATTTAGGCGTTAAGGATTTACTCAAGGGTGCGAGCAAGATAAGCCCTTGTTTCGACTCCAGGAGCGAATTTTCAAGGAGTTGTGCCTTTTCTTTTGTTTTGGCAGGTGCTAGCACGTATGGCTCAAAATCAAGAGCTGGGCTTACGCAGGTGTTGGTCTTTGTTTCATTGACGGGTGTGCTATTTTGGGTACGGAGCCACAGCCATATTTGGCTATTGGATGAGTTTCATGTTGAAACATGTGCTGCTGGCTTCTGTGGTACTCTGCAGGGGGCAGCGTTTCTCCCATGGTTTCGAGCCCCTGGCAGACGGTCATGTTCCAATTCAACAGCATTTCAGAACCCTCGGAATCAGTTTGTAAGGTAAGTTTCCTCCAAAAACCAGCCCTGAAAAATGTTTGGGGGTCATACAAGCTCACCGAACCGCAGGCTTCAAGTAGTTTTTCTGATGATTTCAGACCCAACTATCTCAGTCCAAAGCGCACTGACCCTTTGACCTTTGTTTGCCTTGGTCGAGTCAAGTCTCCACCGATGCCTAGCCGGCATATAGGGCCACCCTGGATTTCATTGCAGCTAACAGCTGCAATGGTGATGCACTTGTCCAGGTCCTTTAGTCGCAGGTACAAACACTGTTTGGGGGTGGGCCATTTGAGTGGTCAACAACAAGTTTGGACTTTGGCAAATCCACTCAGGAAGCCCGATTGTTGCCGGGATTCACAAGCCCTTCCTGCAAAAAGGGGGTTGGGTGTTCGCTCCAAAAGTGGTGAAACCTCCCACTAGTAGCCTGCTACCCACCCTACCCCTTGCATTCTTGAGTGTTCGGCCAAGTTAGTAAGTTCGTAACCACTCGCTGATACCCCACTCAAAACGCCCCCGTTCGTGAGTTCACCTGGTCACTTTCCTCACCCAATGTCTCAATGAGATGAGCGCTCCTCCCGTGGTACCCCACTGTTATAAGCCTTCGTAAGGAGTTAACCTGAGTTCACCCGTTCGTCACTTTCCTCACCCAGGGTCACTGAACTCGGCCCACCTCCACTTCCCCCGCCGGATTCCGGAACTGAGCTGAGGCGCTCCTCCCGCGTCATGGACACCATCACCTCCGCGGGCTCCGTCAGCTTCGCGGAGCCCTGTCCGCAGGCGAGGCGTTGCCGCGAAGCCGCGGGCTGGTTGCCACGCCGCTGGACACCTCCCAGACGAAGGGGGGGTGGGGGGGGTGGGGGTGGGGGTGGGGTTGCAGATCTCACAGTAAAACAAACGCCTTGTTTTTTTTTTGGGGGGGGGGTCCTGTCATTTTTTTCGGACTTGCGGTGCTCGCCATGTTGCAACGGGAGCTACAGCAAACTTACTGTAATTAAATTGGGTTTGTGTCATTTGTTTACTTGCACTACTTAGGGCATATTTCGGGCATCCACTGTAGGCAATGTTGACCCGGATCTAAGCGGATCTAAGTAGAATCCGTCCCATGAATTGGGGAGGTGTTGGTTTAAAAAGGAGTTCCCCCCCCGGATCAACATCACCGAGGATTTAACTTCGGAGTGCCCATAAATTACGGTTTCCTTTTGCCTGGGCCGAGCGAGATCCGCTGCAGAGAGAGGGAGAACGAGTGGAATTGCATGGCAAATGTTCACTTCGGACCAATCAAGAGGAGGACCCTTAGAATAGAATCGCCCGAACACGAACACACCATCCACAAAACCATTCAAAACAGAAAGTAACGACCGACGAATATGAAGCTAACATCCAGCATATTTTAGTGCCATCAACCCAGGGCACTTGACGTTTTTTGAATCGAGGCCACTTATGGCCGTGTCGGTTCCCAAAGTGCCCCTTTCATTCGTTTGCTAAGTGCCCTTTTTGGCTTGATGGGGTTGGGATCCTGTTGAAATCGAACAGCTACCCGTGTCGAAGTGAGACAACAGCCACCTTTGATTGGAGCCGACCTGGAATGGTTTGAGTGTCAGTGGGGGTGCGAATCGAGGTCACTTACCCCCTGCAAAGGGTTCTGCTGGGGAGGGCAACCCTGAGGGTGTAAGTGCCCTTTAAATGGCTTAAGTGACCTCTTTGATATTTAGTACTAAGTTTTTGATTTTTGGATCATGTCACCCACAAAATGAATCGAGGTCACTGAAAAAAAGCTGGATTGTTCTTGTCTCTTGTTACACCCTAGTTTGGTCATGCCCAGCCAAATTGCAGGGGATCTAAACTGGATGTTGCGAAGAGTCTGGAACAAGTGGGTTAGCTCGTTTAACGCAACCGATCCTCTCCTAAACCCTTTTGAATTTTGGAAGGCTTTAAAGGCACACAAACAGGAACGTCACAGTCCCCTTCCTTTCTTGGTCGATTTTCATTTCCAAAAGGTTCACCTTTTCTTCGTGGGTCCTTTGGCAACTGAGCAACTCGCATAACGCCCACCATACTGTGGATGGACGAAATCCTGCACCACTTTGAAACCATGGGAAACAATTGCTTGCTGGTATTTACAAGGGAACCATCAGAAACCAGGGTGTCTTAGGTGGTGCCTAAGAGGATTTCGCAACCATCCACGGTATTTGGAGGTTTCTTCAAAGCGGGGATCCGACCTCATGGATTTTGAGGCGAGAGAAGCGAGCCGCGAGGCTCCGGAGAATCCGCCCGCCACCACGCTGGCGGTGTTTTCCCGGGCGCCCGCGCTGGGCGCGCGGGCGGCCCTGGGGGTGTCTTGGGCCGTGGCAGAGTGACTTGCCGGAAGGGTCGGAGGGGGGGGGGTATGGTGGGCACTCGGGGTCTATTTTGCAACCATCTTTTTTATGGTTCTTGGTTGCAAAATAGACTCTAGGTGTCGATGGCGGGGGGGGGGGGTGAAGAGGCAACTTGGGGGGTTTGGGAAAGGTGGGGTTGGTAACTGAGGTTTTGCCCCGCAGACAAACACAGGCACGCCCCGAGGCTCCCCAAGGGGTGGCTTTAGGTTTCCTGACTGATGTGAGCCGGGAGGAATTTCTAGAGACCCATCAGTACGACCAATCAAAACCTGGGTTCTGGCTTATGCCTTGAGTTGTGCAGTAGTTTCCGCCCCCTAGATCCTGATTCCGCCAAGGGTGGTGTCATGTTGCTTTGCGGTTGGAGGCATGGGGCTGTAGTTTTTGCTGCACTTCTGCACACCGCATCAGCCAAATGTTTGAACTATGCCCAGGGTCCAACCAGGGTCACGCCCGCTCGCGAGTAGATTAAGGTTGTGGGTAACTGCTTTGCCTGGGTGGCTTTGGGTTCCCTGAAAGCTGCTGGAAATCATGACATTCGCCAAGCCCCCGCCAAAGACAAGCGTTTTGGTCGATGCGCATGATTCAATTTGGTGTGATTAGTAAGGGGTGGTTCTTAAGTGAAGGGTTCTCTCTAGAATGGGACGCGCTTTTTGTGCCAGCCAGGGGTTTGTGCATTCTGGATTTCGACTTGCGGGGGGGGTATTTTTGCGACCCTCCAACCTCTTTTTGAGCCTAGAAAGTAACAGATAAAATGGAGGCAGTGCACTGCCCAAGTGATGTTCAATTTGGCTTAGGGAAATACAGGGGCCATGGACCCGGCGTTTGAGGTTGGGCCAGGAGCCTGAGGTCGAGGACATGCCCCTTGTCTCCGCTGTGCGTGAGGTTGTTTGAGGATGCAGTCGGGTTGGTTCGGGTTAAAGGAACCAAGGAAGGCCATGTTTGCCAGTGCAGAGCTCTAGCGAAAAATGTTTAGACCACTGCTTGAAACCAACCTTCTGTTGTTTCCCTCCAACTTGACTGCTATTGTGTTGCATCTTTGGACTTTACCCCTTTGGCAAATCAAAAGGGCTTTCCACTGAACCCACAAATTGTTTTTTTTTTCACTTTTTGCTGAGGGATCAGCAGCACCCCAGTCCAAGGGCCAGGTTTGGTTGCAGCTTCTGCCTGATTCCCTTGGCCCACAAGTCGGAGCCACGGGCGTTGGATTCTCCCGGTGGGTCCGTCTTTCCGCTGGAAGAACAGACATCCCCGGCTCAAGTTCAGGGGCTCCCTTTTTGACTTGGAAGGACCATTTGATGGTTGTCGCTGGGACACATTTTCTTCCATTTTTGCTTGTGGTGGTTTAGTGGTTGAAATCCAGCCACTTAGCTGCCAAAAGTTTGAAACGTTGCTCCCCTTCCAACGTCAACCAATATTTTAGTCGCAGACATCAAGTTTTAGTCGTGTGTTTTGAATTCAAGCTGGTTGATTGGGGAAGGGCGGAGAAGATGACCCCTGGAGATCTCAAATTTATGGCAGCCCATGTTTAACAACAAAAATGGAGCTAATTCTTGGGAAAGAAGCAAGGGCTCCGACTTGCCTCGTGATTTCATCAAAGCCATCCAGTGATGAGTCAAAGCGAAGCAGCCAGAAGAATAGCTTTGCTAACCCCCAGGAACAGTCAAAATAGGGGGATGTTCCCTTTGGAATAAACCCTGGCGGTTTCCCCTGCAAATTGACTAAGCCAGCTTTTTTGTTTTTGCGGGCCCTCTTTGTTTTCCACCAACCAGGCAAGACATATAATGACATATATAGTTTTTTCTGTTCTTTTTTTTCTGGGGGCCAAATTCCAGCCAAGAATTGTCAGGGCAGCGCTTCAGTGTAGGGGCGCTGGACGGGAAGTTGGTCGGCGCCTTCAACCAGCCTTGATGGATCGCAAGATTTGGACCCCGATGTGCCCAAAGGCGTTCCTGTGCTTTCCCCGGCCTGCTGATTTCCCACATCAAGTGGTAAACCAACGGCTTTGTTTCCTTTGTTCACCACCGGTTTTCCTTGAAGCCTTATTTCCCACATCAATGTGAAAACCCTTTTAGGGGGGTCAACAGCAACCAAGAGGCAACCAAAGGAACCAGGCTTTAACGTGAACATGGCGAATGGTTCTCTATGGCGCGCAACGCCTGAGATCCACCGGGTAAGATTGGACATGACATACTCACGTTTGTCGCGGAGCCTTCGGGCAACAATTGACATGGCTCTTCCTTTTCTGTACCGGAAATTGACACGCTACGGATGCCCCTGCCTCTTTTCGAGTAGGACAACAAGGGAACGGATTCCCTAATCTGCCCGAACATGTTTTTTGTTTTTGTTCTGGGTTAGGTGCACTTGATGTCTGATTGCGGGATCCACCTTCTGGGCAGAAGTTTCAGCATCCCAGGTCGCATGCACTTCAGGCGATGTCTGAAGTCTCACTTCCAGAGTTCCCAAACTCGAAGTTGTTTAGCCACTGTTTGGGGTTTGGTGGTCATTTCAGCGGCAAATCGAAAGTTTGGACTGGGTTTTGCAAACCGACTCAGAAAATAAGATGTTCACCCGTACTTTGCATGTTTTTTGCTCCGACTTTGACAAGTTTTCCTGGAAAGCATGGAGCTAGACGGAACAACTAGACTGGCGCCCTATCCTGGCAGAAAGGCCATGCCCTGTTGAAGGCTCCATTCTTTTCGACAGCATAAACTACGCGGCGCTGCGTGGGCTCGCTATGAAGGTCCTTTTCTTAGGCATCCCTTAAAGTCTTGAACTACCGGGTTCATGTGTTGCCTAAACGTCATCCTTGTACCTTTTCTCAGTTGGAGATGCATTCCTCAGGCTAAGCCAGATGTATATATCATCCTTTCCCCTATATTTTGATGCTCTCCGTGCTCGGCTCCCAGGAATCTCTCCCCAGACAGTGGCGAACGCTGGACGGGCGCATGTCCATCCTGGAAAGCCTTGTGTTTGCAGTCTGCGCCCGGTCTTTGCCGTGGCGTTTCGTGAATCCAGAGGTCATCTTCGACTTTTTCTCGGGGCTTAGAGCAACCCAGAAATCATGTGGCTCGAGAAGAAAAAAAGTGTTTCTTGTGGTACCCTAAGGTGCGGATAGAATATGGGGCCCCAAAATTGGTCCTTTCGATACCGAGAAATTCGAACCCCGGGTCCGTCCCCGATCGCGATCCAGGAGCGCGGAGAGCGATTGCGGCCACTGCAACCTCCGCGAGCCCGGGGATGTGAACTCGAAAGGCGAGCGAGCCACGGGTGGCGCTTGGCCCCCCCCCACTCTACTGGCTTCACTGTTCTTGGGTAGTTTTGTTTTTGGGGTTCTATTCCTTTTGAGTAGGGGGCTGCAGAAAGCAGCTTTTTGCTAGACTGGTGTTGTTGTGAAGACTGCCGTTGCTCTTGAGTTGGATCTTTGGGCTTTAACTATTTGGATACCTCTCATGGTTCCTACCCTGCCAGAAGTTCAGCTTGTTTCTGGGGGATCTACAGCGCCCAGCGGATCCATTTACCTGGTTACCTGGACCTCTACACAGAGCAAAGGGAAATGTCTCCAGCAAGGGCAATCAACTGTTTTATGGGTAGCTTGACTAGGTCCCCCAGTAGTGGCCTTGTCTCCCCTTTTTATTGGGGTGGGTTCCCCCACTAAAATAGACTACAGAAAAAGGGTACCCTTATTCTAACCTCTCTACTGGAGGACCTGGTTGAGGGATGCTTGAGGGTTCCCGTTTTCCTGTAGGTAACCAAGGGAACCACCCGATGGAAGAAACCAAAGGGAGACTAGCCGGTGACCTACTATAAGGGTAACTGGGATCCACCGGGGTCCATTTGGGCGTGTCCTTTTCAGAGACCCCCGCCCCAACAAAAACAGTATATATATATATACTTTGGTGCATTTTGCTTGGCTGTTAGGACTTTAACTCTTTGCCAACTAATCTGTTTTCCGTATTAAAACCACTAAAAGTTAGTCACTTTTTGCAGGGGAGCAGAACGCAACCGAGAGTATATATATATATATATAATGGTGGCTGTCCTTGCAGTTCTTTCAGACCACCAAGAAAGGGGTACCCTCAAAAAGGCACACCCGTTGGTTTTCCGGGATTCTCTCTGGAGGCTAACCTTTTCCGAAACCAAATGGGAATTGGTATGTTTCGTCAGACCTATTTTGGCACCTCCCAGTTGTTCTTCGGCACTCTCTTGCTTTTCTTTGTGTGGTTCCAGTTGCTTTAGAGCATGATTCATTGTCCACTGGCTGCCACTGCAGGCGTTTTCTCATTTTGTTCCAGGGGACTTAAGGAAAATCGACATAAACATGATCAAGTCCCAGGACCATAGTTCGCCAGGGTATGGTTCCCAACCCCCAATCCCAGGGTTGAGCTTGCTTGGCCCACACACGGGAGTGCTGTCATGCTGACCCCGGATAAATAAACCCCTGTTTATTAATATGGGGGTGTTCCCCGCCAAAAGTGATAAATCCCCACTAAAACCGGGGGCACCCCCATATTAATAAACAGGGGGTTTATTAATCGGGGGTCAACACTAGCTGAACAGGAATTCCCATATTTGACTTTCAACATCACCTTTTGGCACTTTGAAGGGATTTGCACCGAATTTGGCCTTCGCACCACATGGGCCACATGGGCTCCGGTCGGTGTAAGTCGGGAGGACTCACTTCCTGAGTTTCTGGACCCGAGTCGCTTTTTGGGAAGACCAATCTTACCCCCTACTCCAAATACCCTCTTTTTTCAGGTTATCATGTCGCCCCTTTACTAAAAAATATGTCTTTACCATGGAAAACCGGTTTTTCCAAAAAAAATACCCTGAAAACAGCGGGTATTTTGATTAGGGGGTAGCGGTAAACCACCTGTTTGGACCTTTTTTTCGGCCCATCCCAGTCCCTTGGATGTGAAAAAATCGGCTTGGCCCTAGATCCCAGATGTCCGTACAATCCGAATCCATGGAATCCATGTTGGACCACATTATCTGGGGTAGACTTAAAATGCATTTTACATATTACCAGTGACTCCATGTGAAGCAAACAGTATAATATACAGACCAAAAAATCAGCCGAACTCCAATCATGTTGTGTCCAGCCAAACCGGCGCCTCCCGACCAGCTGACCGCCTGCCGATGAGACGGATTTCGAGGCGTGCTGGCAGAGGTGCTGCAAAGCCACAGCACCTTGCTCGCAGAAGCCCGCGAGGCGGGGCCGAAGGATTCGTTTGATTTTCGTTTCGACCGCCGGGATCCTTATGGACGGACGCCGCAACGAGGTGTTCGTGTGCTTCCGTGTGCGTGTCAGTTATATATGTTATTTCCCCCTAGAACCCCTGGTTCTAAAAGGAATCTATCACTACTGGAAATAGTTTCTCATTTTTTCAGAAAACTAAGCAATGGAAGTGTGTGTGTGTTTTTTCTGTCTTTTTTTAAGGGACTCTCAAAGGGGCCTTTTTGCACATGTGGCCAACAGCAGCCATTTTTCACAGCTCTTCCGGGGTTCGATCGCTGGGGACAGGTACTCTGCTGCCCTTTGACCCTCAAAATTGTGATGGTATAGGGGTGGGCATGCCAGCGCATTTGCACATGCGACGTGTGCCCACCCACACTATCGCCCACCCCCTCCTTGGTGATGTAAATATGTGTTTATGGTTGAGTGATGCTGTGCGAGGGTCTCTTTGGAATTTTGATTACCCTTCAATCCTGTATTCTAGAAAACGGTTTGGATGCGTCTTTTGTGGATTTCACTTGTTCTCCCCCCTGCTGGTTTTTAACTATTCTACAGGGGTGGATCCACAAAAGCCACATCCAAACCGTTTTCTAGATAAAAAGGTCCTCCAAACTTCCAACCATTATCCTGGCGTGCTCGGACAGCGGGAGCTTATGAAAGGTTGCAGAAGGCTACTTCTGTCTCTAAACAGTCAGCCACATGAAATTCTGCCCAGGACGTTGACCACATTCCCACTTAAAACAAACATACACTTGTCAATGTACCCAATATTTTCCAGTAACAAGCTTCTGAAGCATATCGAGCCTTCTCCTGACTGTAGTTCTCTTAAGTTTGGGGCGTGCCTCAACTCACTTGCAACATTCTCCAACCTTCCACAACCAAAGGCTGATGAACATTTCCGATGGCATACCTCCAAGCTGAACACACAGACCCCATGCCCCTTCGGGGCTTTTGGGTGACCGGTGTACCCTTACTACGCCACCAGTGGTCAGTTGCCCCATGAACTGGTGACTAGCGGTTGATGCAAGCGTTTCATACACTCATTTGCCCGAAGCCAACCTTTTTAAACTTTTGGTGTTCTTTTTTTGGTTCATTTTAGCAACCGTATTCTGTGTCCTTTGGGCGACTGCGTGCATGGATGAATTCATTTGACTTGTCCTTTGCCTCGAAAGTTCCGGAGTCCAGTCGACTCGCAAATCGGTTGGTCTGTTGGATGAGATGGGCGGGCTTGAACTCATAAGTGTCCGCTTTTTGGGTTCGTTTAGTGAAAAATAGACAACACTGGAGTTGGGGCTTATTCCATTTACCAGGGCCATCTATTTTTCCAAACGGCCACGTATGCTTGAACTTTTTTGTCCATCGACTCAGGAAGTGAGTGTCAAATTTTAAAGCCAAATGGGCACACAGATCCCTTGACGCAGGCCTTCAATGCCGGCAGCGAGGCCGGGATGAAACCCTCCGGACTGTGCGGGCTTGGTGGGTTTTGTTTGGTGTAGATGTATTTTATTCTTAGATGTTTCCTGACGGGTGCTGGGCAAAATCGCGGTTTTTCGGCTTTTCCTGGTTGGTAGCTGTAACCCTTCAGACAGTTTGGGGTCAGGCCCTCATTCGAGGGTGCAAGAGGTTCAACCTGTGGCCAGGCAAATGTTGTCTGGCACTTGGGGAAATAAAGACACAGCTAGACCCAAACTGGAGGAGTGTGTGTGTGTGTGTGTTGTGTGTTTGCGTGTGAGTGTTTTTGTGGAGAGGGGTGTTTGGGGCAGGAGCATGTTTATTCGTTGCCGAGGCGACGTGCTGGATGGTTGTCAGAGACGGGGATTCAGAGTTCAGAGTGACCGATTTTGGCACAGAGCATCGGTAACGTAGGGGGGAGGAGGGATGTTCAGTTGCCAGAATCCTTGGTCAAAACCCTTGCACTTTTTGGGGAAGCACACGATTGCAAAGCCTGACTTCATGAACACACCTTCTCCCAAGGTGTTCCAAGCTTGTCCCAGCTGACTGCAAGCTGATAGTCCAATTTTCGCAGCTCTTCTCAGCAACGCCTTCCCCAAGTGAGTCACAATCAAACCCCGGTATGAAAATGGTTGACCCAGAACCATGTAAAGAACCAAGAAGGCGGCCGCAGCTATTGTTGGTTGGGATTGTCCCTTACTACCCTTCATCTACCCAGGTTTTGACTGTGGCTCCAGTGTCCCATTCGAACCAAACAAGTCTGCCAGGCGCCAGAGCAGTCGATGCGTTCGCTGGTGGATTGGACGCTGCGGCTGCAGCTGGCGCACGTGAAAGTGCTGTCCGCCTTGGTAGATCCCCGGGAAGCTGACGGCCACACGAAGGAGCAGTGAGCTGCACGTCCCAAAGTTGGACGCCCGGAAACTACAACCTCACTGGTCCAAAGCGAACCGAGCTTTTGACCTTTTGGTTTCTCGTTGGCCCAAGGCAATGGTATGGAGTAACGCTTGGTTGCTCGGACAATTTTAAGACCTGGTCGCACCCAAGTTGGGCGGGTTGAAATCCCCCCAGGCACCGGGACCGTTCAAGCCGTCCCGTGGACCGACTGGGTTCTCGTTGGTCCAATTTCCCCAAAAGAACTGAGTACCACTCTAGGAATCCGAAAGAAAGCTCACAGGTTTCCCGGCTGGGGCTTCAGAACAGCTTTCTCAGGGCAGGGCAAAGATGCGCGCAAGGTTTCAACCCATCCGGAAGGCAGTAAGTATGTAGGCACGGTGGATGCGCCGATCGCACTGTGCAAGTAAACCAACCACACGGAAAGAGCGCACATTGTTGCTAAATTACGGTGAATTGGGGTGTTCCAACTCGTTCCCCTTCTTTTCTCAATATTGAGACATCCACAGCAACTCTAGACAAAGGTTTGGAAGCGCTTGTGGATTCTACCTGTTCTTTCCCCGGCTGGTTCGCTTTTAGTAACCCGTTGTTACTCTTTGATATCCTGGAAGGGTGCATGCACAAAAGCCACATCCAAACTGGTTTCTAGAGTAACGGAAGGGACAACATCAACGGAACTGCTCATGTAACAGTCCCTTCAGCCGGATAAACGAAGCGGGTTTCATTTGGGCATGTTTTACTTGCAAGTGAAGTTTAGGGGCTTTTGCAGAAAAGGCCCAGGCGACGCCCTATCAACCTGGGTGTATGACACACCGGCGTGTTTATTGACGTTCTCAGCCACACAAACGTTACATTTCAGATGTGTCAAGTTGCACAAGCCTCTTTGACCAATTCGTGAGCTTCCTTTCCGCCGACCTCTCGATGTTGAATCTGTCTCCTTCAGTTTTTTGCTGGTTTCCATGTTGGCCCCGGATGAACAAACCCGTCCTATGATTTGGGGGGGGGGTGTTGCTCCAGTGCTGATTCACGAGCTAACGGCGGGTTGACTCCCCCTATTATTAATAAACTGGGGTTGATTGATCTGGGGTCAACACTAGGCCTTTTCAATTGTTTGGTAAGGCCAAATGCGGCTTGAACCACAAACCGGTCAGGTTGGGCAAGTATGCACCGGTCTCAAAATGGGATGTAGGATCCATACACTGGGCTTCGGTGTTTTCTTGGTTCTCCCCAACAGGGCACCCAGACAGTTAAAGGGGATTGCCCTTCAGCCCACCAAAAGCTTAAAACGAGTGATCGAGACTTCGCCCTTTTTTTCCTTCGCTGGCGGTCCGGGGGCTCTAACTTTACAACCAGATGCACCCTTTACCAAGCCTGCGCGAGATTCTGGCCCCGCTTTGAACGCTTTAAGTCCCGGGATTCTAGTAGCCCACTAGCCCACGCACAAAAAGCGGCGTGGTTTGACAGGGGTCCCTCCATTTCAATCTTTGGAGCGTGAAAAGTGGCACATCCTTGCTTCCCACCAGTAAATTGATTGGCCCCCCCCATGCCAACCTAAGGGGAGGGAGGGGCGCTGTTCGGCGTGCTTTTTTGTGGGGTACGCTTTTTGGGCCTTTTCTAAGCGCGACACCAAAGGGAAGTCGCGAATGTTGGAGGTTCAAAAACTTACCTCTTAAAAACACAACTTTTCAACTTGTTGGGGGTAACATGGGCTATATGTCTGTAAAAGATCAACTTCCCCAGGGCTTGGAGTTTTAAGGGGTAAGAAAAGACAAACCCATGAGCCACGGTAGATGAAGGTTAGTAAGGCACAATCCCAACCATAAATAGCTGCGGCCGCCTTCTGACTTCTTTGCATGGTTCCGGGTCGACCATTTCAATGCCGGGGTTTGATTACTCATGTCCTCTTCTTGTCTTGTGAGGGTTGCAACTGGGGGACCCTTTGAGTTTCACCTCGTGCTCAAGGCATTCGATCCAAAAGGGCCGAAGCTCGATCGGCTCGCATGCGGATCGCACGACACCGGAGGGAAGGGAGAGCAGAGGGATGCAATTCGAAGTGCCACCAGACCCCTGGAACATACCCCTAAAGGATAAGACAAAAGTCAGGGTAAGCTTGGGGTAATTAAATCAGCTCAGCTGGCATGTTCCTAGACAGCTTGGTTTGGGGGGGCATCTTCAATTAATCGTCACCGTTGCTGGATCATTTTTTCCTGCTTGGTTCTGTTCATTTTTAGTGGGGGCTGCAAAACTAAATGTTCCGCTATCACACCAAGGGTTGTAAAGGGATTTGCAACTTAATCGGAGATCGAGTGACCTGTGTAACTTTTAGGTTTCAGGTGAGGGTTCACCGAGGCTTTGATGCTTAGATTTCATGCACAGGGTGTTCTTTCCAAAAGGAAAGTCATCTGCGCCCGTGCTACTATGGATGGACCAAATCCATTTCGCACCACCTAAGAATCCCGGAAATGTGGTTAGCCAAAAATGGTTTCCCACGGCCTCAAAAGCACACCATGTGCCACCACCGGAAGCTGATACTCCACCCGCAAGTTGTTTGCCTTGCAGTTGGGAGAATGATTTGAAGCCATTGTCTTTAAGGAAAAGCTGGAAAATCCCTCCACCACCCGGGGAACATCTTCATGCTGCCATTTTGCGGTGATATCACACAACTCTTTCAAAGCTTAACATGTCGCAAAACAGTCTTTGGGCTCCGTTTTGGCATAAAAAGGCTTATTTTGCCACCAGGGGACCGCAGGTTTTAGTCCATGTTTCCATTTACCACGGTTCCATTTTGGGTACCTATTTTTGACCCACCGCCATTTAGCGCCCTGACCCCCCCCCCCCCACCGGGTTCCCCAATTTCAGGCGGCGCCGGCCTTGGCGCGGGCCGAATCAGAGCAGCGTGCGGCTCAGTGTTTTTTTTGGGGGGGGAGGGGGGGGGGGGGGGTGGGCCCAGGGTCCCACTGTTTGAGTACAAGCCCCCAAAGCACCAAGTAGGGATTAATTACCTGGCAATATGTCTAACCAGGGTTCCGTTTGTTGACTACCCCAAGGTAGACTTAAACCCAGGGGTTCTCCTTTTGGGGGAAGGAACCACCCCTAGGTTTAAGCCACTGGGGTGGTCAAAAAGTAGAACCCGTGGGCCTCGTGTACATGGACGAAATCCGCTTGAACGGCACCACCGTTCAGAAACCCCTGGAATGATTCGACTCCCCAACCTAAATACCAACCAATGCATTGGTTTCAACCATGGATTCCAAGCGGTGCGAAATGGATTTCGTCCATTCACAGTATGGGCTGTGCTCAACTCCCCAACTCAACATGGCAACCCAAGACGGGGGTCCCCCAAAGCAAAGTTCTGACTCTAAGACTGGTACCCGTACGATTCCCCAGAGCAAGCCCCCACTTAAGGTCCAGTGCCCGCCGTTCGTGCTTTTGACCTACCCAGACAGAATGCGCATTTTGAGACACTGGTTCTACATGACTGAGAAGTTGCCAAACAACAAACTATTTGCCAGAACGTATCTTCGCTGTTGTTGGCAAGTTGTTTGGTGTTTGTGGTTCTGTACTCATTGTTAGGAGGGGGCAAAGCAAAACAAACATGTGTCTTGCTACCACTCCAAGGGTTGTACACCTAGAGTCTCCATGACCCCTATAAAAAAGTCATGACTTTTGATTTTTGGGTAATGACCACAAATTTTAAAGGGCCATGGAGACTGCAGGTACTTACTTCCTGAGTTCATGAACTCTAAAAACTTTTTGGGGTTTGGACCATTTTAGTGGTAATAAGAAAAAGTTTGGACTTTTTTTGGGCCATCCACTCAGCCAGGGAGGTATCTTCCGACTCAAAGCTGCGCGTGGAAGACGAATCCTCGGGGCTGACAGCCGAGGCCCGTGATGGAGGCAGGTCCGTGCGACGAGCCCGAGGCGCGCTGGCACCACACCCCCAAGACGGGGTGGGGTGGGGTGGGGGGTGTGGGTGGGGGGCCATTTCGGACTGAATGGTCACTTTTTAGACTTTTTGGTTGACTCAGGAAGTGAGATATTTGGTGCCACGATTGCCCTGACGAAAACCCAACTTCAAAGAAACTACGCCAAGGGCACTGACTTTTCGGAGCAGGAAACCTGTGCCACAGCCTTCAGGGAAGCCGAAGGGAGGACACACATTCAGGTCACCCTGTGGCGGTTTGGTTTAGGGTAGATGCGGAAGCCAACCACCAATCCAAACCACCAATGGAAAGGCAGCTGGCGCATGGAGCCAGGAGAACGACCTATGTTTGTTTCTGGGATGGTCGCCGGAATATGCGAAACAGCTCCCGCGGGATTCGCCAGGGCGACCAGGAGCCTGGAGCTTGGCCGATGGCACCGGTTTCGAAGGGGCACTCGAGGAGTCAGACCCAGACCTCCTCCTGCCCTCAGTTCTTCAGTGGCACCAATTATTTTTCTGTTTCCTTTTTGGTTCATTTTCCCAAGGGGGTATGTAAAAGCTCAGTTGTTCAGTGGCACCAAGTCTGTTTCTGTGTCCCTCTTTTTTTTTGGTGGCCAGACCACTAAAAATGGCCCAAGCCCCAAAACAGGGTTGCATAGGGTTGCCTTCTTTTTTCCAGGGCTGAACAACTGAGTCCCGCGTGCTGCGGGGTGTCTTTCTCTGGTCTCACTGTCTGAGTTCCTGGACTTTAAGCTTTTTGGGAAATTCATCCTGGTGGTAAGTAACAAGTGAGCAATCAAAACCTGGGTAGATGAAGGTTAGTAGGGGCAATCCCAACCATAAATGGTTGCGGAAATCCGGCTTCTTAATCCTTGAAGCATGGTTCTGGGTACCTAGAGTCTCCATGACCCCTAGAAAAAGGGGTCATGACGGGCCCCTGAATTTTGGGTAATGACCAACCATTTTTAAAGGGTCATGGAGACTCTAGGAAGTTGTTTTCTGCCAATCCACGAATCCACTCAGGAATTGAGTGTCTTGAGCTTTGATTTTTCTTGTGGACGATGTGTGGTTTACCCC